GTTACCTATCATGAATAATCCTTGCTCATGATATTTTCTTCTTTCTTAACAGTTTAATGAATTAGATTTTAAAACCACGTTCATCTCAGCAGAAGGTTGCTAATATTAGATTCTATTTGTCACAATGTAACCAGCCTACAGATCTTATTTTGAATGAGCTACTAGTCGGAAGTACAAACTGAAGAGCCAATAATCCCACCTCTTCTGATGCATTAGTTTGAATAAAAACTATTCATGACTTTTAAATGCCTTCATGATCCCATTGAACCTTGTAGCGATGCATTTAATTGTGAATGAAAAGTTCCAAATTGGACAAAAGAGCGCCCTCTGGTGTACGAATGATGGTTAAAGTGAAAGAATTTACGCTCACGAACAGAAAGGCATAGAGAAACGGTTGTAAAAATCACTTTTGGTAAAACAGAAGACAGATTAAGCAGCAGGGCACACACAAAAATACAGTTTTACATTTTAAAAGTCTACTTAAAATCACTTATCTCAGCAAACAACTATGGGGATTCTATTCCACAGTATGACCATATCATGTTACGCCCACCACTGCAGAGGAATGCAAGTTCCAGGTGTTCCCCCAATCTCCGTTTTTTCTATGAATGTTTTGAGTCCAGACCAGATTACTTTTGTGTTGAGCACTCTGCCCCTCTACCTCAGATGCCCCTTCGGAGGTGACCACAGGAAATTATAGATTTGAGAAGGTTTTTGGATAGAAATGTTACTTTAACAATATTTATTTGATATAGAACAGATTTAGTATATTCATAAGTGCGTTGTAATTTTAATTATCTAGTTATTGCACTTTATTGTTTTTAAATTGTGAATTTGATCACTTTCACTTTGTATGATATATATTTACAGTGTTCTTACAATGAATTAACTGAATAAATTAGTTTGTTATATTCATTTAGTGCTGGTAATATGTAATTAGCTGTTTGTCTCCCATGTTAAATTTAGTGTAGGAGCCACTGATAGTGTTGGGCTGAACACAACATGGCCATATGGAAGAAGTGAAACACCATATTTATACATAGCAGCAAAACTGTGATGCACTGTGTGTACTGACACCTTTCAACAGGGCCAGCATTAAAGGACCACTATAGTGCCAGGAAAACATACTCGTTTTCCACCCTCAGGATGGCAAGGAAAGGGTTAAATCTTACCTTTTTTTCCCAGCGCCGGGCGGGGAGCTCTCCTCCTCCTCTCCGCCTCTTCAGCTGAATGCGCATGCATTCATAATGCTTTCCTATGGACGCTGGCACGTCAATGAGACAGCCACTAGAGGCTTTAGAGGAAGGATTAACCCATTTATAAACATAGCAGTTTCTCTGAAACTGCTATGTTTATTAAAAAAAGGGTTAATCCTAGAGGGACCTGGCACCCAGACCACTTCATTAAGCTGAAGTGGTCTGGGTGCCTAGAGTGGTCCTTTAAGTTGCTCAGCAATTTTAGCTACAGTAGCTATTTTTCCACAAGGGCTTGCCTTCGCTCCCCATGTGCATAAATGAGCCTTGGATGCCCATGACCCTGACGCCAGTTCACCAGTTGTCCTTCCTTGCACCATTTTTTGGTAGGTACTAGGTAGCACTCCACAAGACTTGCTGTTTTAAAGATGCTCTGACCTGGTCATCTAGCCATCACTATTCAGTCCTTGTCAAAGTCATTCAGATCTTTTTGCTTAACCATTATTCCTTCTTCCAACACTTGAAATTCAAGAACTGACTGTTCACTTGCTGCCCAATATATCCCACCCCGTGACAGGTGCCGCATTGTAGCGATATAATCAATGTTATTCACTTCACCTGTCAGTTGTTTAACATTGTGGATGAGCAGTGTACACTCACAAGCTAACATATGTAATTTCAAGCAGCAAGGGAATGTAGGTAAGACATCAGGAATATCTATATTTATTTTCTAGTGCTCATGAAAGCTATATAGTGCTCTCCTTTTAAATACATATTTTATATGAATAAAGTTCTAAAACAACTAAAAAAAATGTGATTCTAGTGAAATACATTCACTAAAGTTAACTAACATTTAATGTAAGTTTATCAAATGTGTTCCTTAAAGGAGCACTATAGGGTCAGGAACACAAACATGTATTCCTGACTCTATAGTGTTAAAACCACCATCTAGCACCTGCTCGCTCTGCCCCTGATCTGCCTGCTTGGCTGACATCATCAGAAGTGTTGTTCTGAGCCAAACACAAAGCTTTCCCAAAGGATTGTCTGAGACAGTCAAGGAGGTAGATTAGGGGCAGAGCCAAATTCAGCCCTAGCCTATCAGCATCTCCTCATAGAGGTGTATTGAATCAGTGCATCTCTATGAGGAAAGTTCAGTGTCTCCATGAAGAGGTTGAAGACACTGAATGGCAGTGCTGCTCACTGTGCAGCACTGCCCCCAGGAAGGATCTCTAACAGCCATCTGAGAAGTGGCCAGTGAAGTTATCACTAGGCTGTAATGTAAACTCTGCATTTCCTCTGAAAAGACAATGTTTACTGCAAAAAGCCTGACAGGAATGATTCTACTCACCAGAACAAATACAATAAGCTGTAGTTGTTCTGGTGACTATAGTGTACCTTTAAATATAGAAATAAATAAACATAATATTAGAAATATTTTGGAAAACAAGTGGCTGTTACTTTGCAGGTTTTGATTTTAAATTAATTATTTTCATTTATACCTAGTAGCAGAGCAACATTTACAGATTTTGCCCTCTGTTTTAGCAGCATATCCTTCACTTAGCAGTGGATTCTTGATTCCATGAGACTATCTTTCCCTTGTAATTAATCATGTATACTGCTACTTTAACAATTGTGTAGTTACATTGATGTTTTCATGTTATTACTACCTACTGGATATATTGTGTGTTATTGTATCTTTATCAATGTTCTATCACCATGGCTCATGTAACTTGACCGAGAAATAAAACAGTTTCTAAAGAGGAAGAGGAGGAGAGGCAGCTGAAGTTATGGCAGTCCCTGGTGTCTAGTGATGAGAAAGCAGAGACTCATTCATGCTTCCCTTCTATGGGCAGCACTGGATAGGCAGTGGGTTCTGGCATAACTACATTGTACTGTTAATATAGTTTTAATTTAATGTTATTCCCTCTCCCTGCCACCTACTTTTGGCCATATATGGGGGACATGAGGATCCATGATGATCCGGGGGTGCTTAGTGACTTCAGGTGTGTACAGAGTGCATTCTTCTCGCTAGCCCCAGCACTGTGTAGTAAGACATCTTAAATTCTGAAAAATATGATAGTTGTGAAAAGAAGCAATTATCAGTTAACAAAAGACACTGAATACTGCTGCCCTCTCCCTCTTCCTGCTGACATAATATGTCCATGACCTATAGTGTAATTGAAAATCCAGTAAGAGCACCAACAATGTATGGTCACTATTAAAGCTTAATGAAGTGGTCTGGGTGCCTGGTCCAGCTAGGGTTAACCCATTTTTTCATAAACATAGCAGTTTCAGAGAAACTGCTATGTTTATGAATGGGTTAAGCCTTCCCCTAATCCTCTAGTGGCTGTCTCATTGACAGCCACTAGAGGCGCTTGCGTGCTTCTCACTGTGATTTTCACAGTGAGAGCACGCAAGCGTCCATAGGAAAGCATTGTAAATGCTTTCCTATGCGACGGGCTGAATGCGCGCGCAGCTCTTGCCGCGCGTGCGCATTCAGCCCAGGAGGAGGATGGGAGGAGGAGAGGAGGCAGAGAGCTCCCCGCCCAGCGCTGGAAAAAGGTAAGTTTTTAACCCTTTCCCCTTTCCAGAGCTGGGCGGGAGGGGGTCCCTGAGGGTGGGGGCACCCTCAGGGCACTATAGTGCCAGGAAAACGAGTATGTTTTCCTGGCACTATAGTGGTCCTTTAAGATGACAACTTATTTTTTTCATTTTGGAGCATAATACAGACCGAAGTCTAGAACATTATCAATTGGTTACAGATACTGCATTGTAATGTAGGACATGGTGTCCAAATATGAACTATTTAGTTTTCTTTATAGATGGAGAAAATTAGACCATACAGAACAAATTACATATACGGTTAGGGGAGCAATAATATCTGTGCTTTTATATTTAATAATTCAGTATATGTTACATATCTTTGGGCTTCTTCCACTTTTCTACAAACATTTTGGTCAAATACAGGATATTGTGAGGTTGACGGCCCAACTGTACTGAAATGTATTAAAGAACATGTGACATTAGCTATGAGCATTACTTATTTCATTTGCATTAGACATTTGAGTTTTTTTAATGTAATTTAAACTCTAAGTTTATTTAATTTAATGCACAGTCTGTATGATTTCCTGCCTCTGATTTTTGCTATGTCCCCAGAAAACCATTTTTAACCATGGCTATGCCCACTCACTGTATGAAAATCTGCAAAGACCCTACAATTCTATGGGAGATGTCCACCAACATATGTGACGTATTCTGGCAATGATATTAACAATTACCACCCCCTGCCCCTTAGAGACACTTTAGCAACACATTAACACTCAATACAGCTACAGAGGGCTTGGACAGCCAGTGCAAGCATGGCAAGTGTGCGTGCAGTCCATCTTCTAGTTACAATACGCAAAATGTACTTTAGTAAATTGTAAACTTTCTCATCCATTCTCTTCATGATGATAAAATTCACTTTGTCCAATTATTCAACTGAACTAGTAGTCAAACTGGCAACTAGTGAAATAAAAAATAAATAGACAAAACGAAAATTCTGCTTGCAGCTTAATAAAAGCATGCACCATGTTAAATAATTAAAATGCTGCTGTAATACCCACTGCTTCTTCTGCTCTCCCCAGGGTTTTTGGACGGGTCATGGTGAGAATACCAACGTTCCGTACCAAGGGGATGTTTCAAGAGACAAGGCTATGGTCGCCCAGTGCAGTACAAAATGTTGTACCCCCCTCATGTATCACTCCCCCCCGATCCCCCATCCACCTTGCCTCCCTGGTTCTAAAGCTAATTTAACACATGTAAGGACTCCAGTCTGCTGGCTGAGGTTGTTGGGAGTTAAGGGCTTGGACTCCTCTTCTCATCCCCTTTCACCCGGCTCTGTTAGCTGGAAGGCAATGACAGGCTTTCACTTGTTTCCAAGCTGTCAATATTAAAGGGGCCATGTCGTGCTGTTAAAGTGCCACAGTGCCAACTGGGCCCCTGCTAACACATAGATACATACAAAATGAGGATACAACTGTGGAGCTACAAAAAAAGATATAAAACAAAATAATAGTGTAACACTGTTTAGTAAAGTATAAGTGCGCTGTGTAGAGTATAACTCACAAGGTAGATGAATTGATAACGCCTAAGGGTGCCTCCCCTGATGTAGATGGGGGGCGGAATCACTGTTCTTATTCCAAGGAAGGTGAAATACGACTCAGGATATGGAGTAAAAAAGGATTTCTTCTTTATTAAAAGAATTCAAAAATATATGTATATAAGTAAGCTGTTATGGTACCGGGTCCTACGCGTTTCGTCCAGATGGACTTCCTTAAGGGACCTCCTAGTATTTAAGTATGTAACAGCAATAAAACAAATGCAAGTATTGCAACAAATACAACAATTGTTTACTTGCATTTGTTTTATTGCTGTTGCATACTTAAATACCAGGAGGTCCTTGAGGAAGTCCATCTGGACAAAACGCGTAGGACCCGGTACCATAACAGCTTACTTATATACATATATTTTTGAATTCTTTTAATAAAGAAGAAATCCTTTTTTACTCCATATCCTGAGTCGTATTTCGCCTTCCTTGGAATAAGAACAGTGATTCCGCCCCACATCTACATCAGGGGAGGTACCCTTGAACGTTATGAATTCATTTATCCTGTGAGTTATACTCTAAAGAAGAAATCCTTTTTTACTCCATATCCTGAGTCGTATTTTGCCTTCCTTGGAATAAGAACAGTGATTCCGCCCCACATCTACATCAGGGGAGGTACCCTTGGGCGTTATGAATTCATTTATCCTGTGAGTTATACTCTACACAGCGCACTTATACTTTACTAAACAGTGTTACACTATTATTTTGTTTTATATCTTTTTTTGTAGATCCACAGCTGTATCCTCATTTTGTATATATCTATTCTGTATTGGAGGGATTATTGCTGGGATATCCCTGGATGAAGCTGTTACCACTGTCTATTAAGATAAGTGTTATATATTCTAAAATTGATTGTTTTTGTATCATATACATACCCTGCTACCACATGCCTAATGATTGCTGATGTGTGTTATGGTCATTGCTGCCACCCAGGAGTAGTGGAAGTTTGAGCGCACGGCTTAGTTTTGTATCTTTGTATTTGCTTTTGTATCACACAGCCTTGTTACAATGCTGCCGCCCACCCCATGTGTTCCCTAAGAGTTAATAAGTGTGTGGGGGTTTAGAAAATTCCCCCTCTCTGTTCAATTAGAGATTTTACATTTTAGCTGAAAGCAGCAAGGTGAATTGTTAGTATAGGACTCGCCTAAGAGTTTTTGCCTTGACGTGGCAGGTGAGCATACACTTTAAGGGACACTTAAAAAAAATTAAAAATTATTTAAACGTGCAGAGTGATTTGGGATAGTGTGCAAGTTACTTTTTTCTTCTATAACTATTACTTCACTGACGGGTGGTGAATAATATGGGATTATAAATGCCATTTCTAATGTTATAGTTTGGTTGAATGAACCATTGTGATTTATTCATTAAATCAGTAATCACAAGAGAATTGCAAATGATTAGGTCATAACTGGCAAACTGAAGAAATATCTGGCTTGGAGGTTCTTACCAGGCTGGCAATCTGGCCTCTAGTTTAGAATCGCCTTGTCAATTTCCCACAATGCCCAATTAAGCGAATAAACTCCAAAGGTTTGAGGAAGATATTTTTTGCAGTAAATTCCATAACTGACATATTACCAGGATTTTCTTCTGAATTCACATTAGGTGTATTTGCTGTTTTTTCCATGTACATATGTCTGCCTTTTATAAAAGCGTTATATTCCTTCAACACCCATTAGTACACCCACTCTCCTTCTGCTTATATGGTAACAATAGTGGAGAATTCGAATTAATAAATAATCGGAAATATAGCTGCACATTTTTAGAGGATACAAAAGTCCAGACCCTAAGTCTTATTGTCATCACATCTGCTTTTACCGGAATTCCAGAATTAATTTAGAGATGCCAAATTTCATTCCAAGAGGCGAGGTGCTACAAAAGTTCAGCTGTGCCAGGAACGTGGGCATGACATGAATATATTACCACTGCAATGTCATTGAATACTAAACAAGCATTATCTAATATTCCGTGTGCAGACGTGCAGGGTGATCTGTACTCTAGCCAAGTCATCTAGACAGAAACATAATGCAGTCTCGAGAACTTATTTAAAAAAAAAAAAAAACACAGATAGCCAAATTTAAAAAATTATAAAACTTTCTACTACCTATTCCTTTTAGTATCCCCAAAATCAGTGAGCTAGGAAAAATGTATCCATTAAAAATGTAGAGTTGGAAATAATGTAGATTTAAAGGAACACTTCAAATAAATAAAAGCATTTAAGTTTGTGAAGAATGTGACCCCTTTTTTCATGTTATGAACGTGTCGATTTCAATTTTATCATTGAATCCTGTTATACCACCCCAGCTGTCATTCAGACAACGAGGATATGTTTCTTCCACCTAGTTTAGCTCCCTGAAGCTAAGCAGACCTGGAAAGAGCTAGTTTAGAATACTTGCCTTTTAAATACTTTTCAGTGAGCTGTAATATAGCTTATTTAGAAGTCTGTGGTTGGACAAGGCTTCTCAATGAGAAGTCTCTGATTGAGCATTCTCAAATAACAAGAGTTGGGGATACAGCAAACCTATAAGGAACACATTAAAACAGTTATTACTGGGATGGTAATTGGTACAAAATTGATTATTCTACAGTCTTGACTCCCCCTTATACTTATAAATACAGCAAGAGACAATAATAGTGCAGCACACTCACAATTATTATTACTAATATTACCATTTATATAGCACCAACAGATTCCATAGTGCTTTACAATGTTACGAGAGGGGGATTTAACTATAAATAGGATAATTACAAGAAACGAAAGGGTGAAGAGGACCCTGCTCAAACAAGCTTATATTCTATAGGGCTTTAAATAAATAGACGCTAATTTATTTCACATACGGTAACTAAGTAAAAAGCATATAATAAATATCACCAGGCTTTGCACAGTCTGCTATCACCTTGCCCTATGCATTTGTGCTCATTTTGTATTTAAAGGTTGCTCCAACCAAAGAAAACAGTTAGTGTAACCCTTGCTGTGTTGGCCTACCCATCCACCTTAAAATATATATTTTTAAATTAAATAAAGCTCCCCGGGTGACAGCACTCCACTTAACTAAAAACCAGCACTACAGACACAAGTCTCTAACGCCAAGACAGAACCCAGAAACAAGGGCATCCAGGGGAACTCCAAGGCAATATCCTCCCCGCACCATGGCATGTCCCACTAGGGCCCTTCCCACTCTCCTCATAACCACCCAAAAGCCCACGGACAATGCCAGAACGAATATACACTAACTTAATGGCATACACGGCTCGTCTGCACAACCACAACGGAGCCCAACACAGAAATACCTGAACGGAAGCAAGTCCAACACCATCCATAAATACACAAAGGCCGTTAACCCTAGACATACCTAACCCGGCTTAAATAATCTACAACATATTCAACAAAATGAGCAGCTCAGTCCAGTTATAAAGCTGTGCGCTATCATTCGAGCCAAAACCGGCAAAATACACTGTTTTGATATCAACCTAACTTCGAAAAGACTGCACAACTGTATCGTAAGGAATTGTACGGTTGACAGAACACAGGATAGATGGATGGATTTAGGTAGTTAATAATAACTCTTATATGTGTAATTCACAAGAGAACTGATATTAGTCAAAGCAAGTGATATTCTTCCAAAATTGAATCATCTACCTTTGGTGACTAGGTGGCAAACTTAGAGTACCCTCCTGTACCCTCCAAAATCTGTAAACTGATCATTAACATTAACGGATAACTAAAATCACAAGCATAGTATGTTTACTTTAGGAATGCTTATTTCCTGCTCTGTTAACTGACCTTTAAGCACATAGAGGAGGCTGTTACAGGCTCTAGCAGGCTATTAACAGAGCAGAAATAAATACATTCTAAAGTAAACACATTGTGTAATAAAGGAAGCTAAAAAAAAATTAGACTCTTTTCCACGAAGTGTGTAGGAAGACTGTGTGAGTCTCATCCGGAGAGGTGTGACTAGGGCGGCATAAACAAATTAATTTCATTCCTAAGCGCCAGAGAAATGAGCAGCATGGATGCAGGGCATGCTCTAAATACCAAAACCACTTAATTAAGCTAAATTTGTTTAGTGCTTTGAGTGTCCCTTTAAGGCTTTCATCACATGGTCTCAAAAGGGTAGCGGGTAGGGGTCCAGAAAGATAAGTTCACCGTGGTTCCCAAAATATGTGGAAAAGTAAAGCTATATTTCCTCCATAGTACTTATCCCAACATTATGTGTCCATTCAGAAAATGTCAGGATAGAGATTTGTTTCCAGTTAAGAAGATGCTGGTATAAGATAAGTCAATGTTTGTATTTTGTAAGGCATGTAGCAGTATAGTGATGTTTGTAATTATATACATTTCTAATACACAAAAATATGTAAGCATGATCCTGTGGCTCTTTATTTTATATAAAGGAAATACTTTATGGAGGATCAGAGGCGATGGAGAACATCTGCATAATAATTTGTATTTAGCTTCCGAGTGGGTGACATGCATGGTATGTAAGAAAAAAAAAGATTTTTGCCCACTCCTTGTCAAATACAGTCATTGTAGGAGGGTACAGCAGGGTGTAGGGATATTTGGTATACCATCCAACAAAAAAGAGGGGAGGAAAGAAAATAAACACTCCATAGAACATGGCAGGAGAGTGCAAATAGTGAGCACATTTAATATTTGATTTAAAAAAAGTAGTTTGCACAAAAAATAAAATAAAATAGTGAAGCACAAACCAAAAAGAACAAAACCAGGAAAGCTACCAAGTACATTTTGTGCCTACTCTGGCACTTATTTAAATGTCTATACGGATTCTTTAATCAACTCATCACAAAACAAAACAGATTAAAGGGCATAATACAGGAGTTGTTTCAGTTCTTCAAAGAATGTGTAGTGCCTATCATCAGGGTCTGTGCTGGAATTTGAGCGTAGGAAAGTGCAAAATATGGCAGAGTTTGTCTTGATTGCCAAAACCAGAAATACCAGGGTGGAATCTAATGGAAATGTTTTAATGGGTGAGAAGAAATAGGTCTTCTCCAGTTTCAGCCACATATACTTCTCGATGATTCATAATACGCTCACTACCATAGATGGTCATGGAGAATAAAGGATGAACCACATAGTGGGACAGGTCAAGATCTTAAATCGGGTACCAGTCACCTCCCCATTACACTTTAATATAATGGTTTTCATGTATTTACTCAGACCATGTAGAACTTTGCCATTTCTGAGATACAGCAATGTTCACATTTGACTGAAAACACACTTATACTGGTTGTCAGACAGAAGGCCATTATAGCAGCTTCCTCTCGAGAACCTTCAGTATTCAAAGTCTTCACTTTCAGCATCATAAAACACAAGAACATCACTAAACCTTCTCTGTGGGGAGCACTGGACTGGCAGAGAGCAATGGTAGCTGAAAATGTGCCATAGGACCAGGATGCTTCTATGATGGGAGGGGCAGATGCTCCAATTAAAGTGGAGCTGGATACAGGTAAGATTATCTTTTTTTTTTTTCTTAACAGTGAGTGATCCTGAGTTTAAAGAAAAAGAGAAGCACTAACATTAAACTAAATAGATAATGTTCTTTAAACCTAGCGGTACTTGGCATAAGTCTCAAATCCTCATCTTATTTTTTGTGTGTATAAAGATCCATTATGCCATATAGAATAGTGAAGTAGGTCATAAAAGTCCAGACTGAGTTTGTTAAAGGAACACTGCACTCATCATAAGAGCTTCATCTGATTAATGTTGTCATAGTTCCTACAGTACTTCACCCTTGTTAGTGGCTCCAAATTACTATTTTAATTGTGAGAATTCTTGGAAGAGTAGTTTCTAGCCACGCTTCCAAGCTGGATCGATAGGAAAGCCGGATTGTTACTTCTTGGCTCTCATACCCAGGCATACCATGATGTCACGCACGCATTCACAGTGCCGTCACAGCTTGCCATAGAGAATCATTGCATGTAATGATTCTCTATGACAGAATCACTGGTGGACTGCGATGATTGGCAGATCGCTCCTCTATGAGGAGCATTAGATTGGACCATCATCCTGGAAGTCAAGCGAAGAGAAGAATATGGATTCATAAAGGAAGACACAGCAGTGGTAAAAAGGTGAGTAAATTTACTTTGATTCATTTTCAGTGCACATCAGTGCAGTAGCGCAAAAGCACCTATTCAGCTGGTCATAAAGGCCTTCCATTACAGTTACCATGTCTCCTCTGAGCAGTGCAGCAGAAGATCCAGCTGAATATAAAGTGACATATAAGTATATGACATATGTAGCGGTCCTACCCACATAGCAAACGATGCAGAATAACCAAAAGCAACATCTCTCCATCAGCTTAAAGGACGCAGTAGACACCATAAACATTCCATCTCTTCTTTAATTGGATATAATATGCAAGCTCCTTTGGCACTGTCCCTCGATTCAGTATTAAACCATAATCGAGCAATTTAACAGTAAAGAAGGCTCCCTGGTCACCAACAGCCTGTTCTGTACTGGAGGTAGGCAGATATTACAGACTTCCTTCTAGCCATACCAAATCACGCCAGCAATGCGTGATCAATAGCGTTAAAGCAGTCAGTTGACACAAATAGTCAATCACAGCCACCTATTGCTGCTCAAGCTAATGATTCCTCATTAACCCACGCAACACTGGGAACTCTCACTTAGCATTAAAAGGTTAAAAACGGTTTAATACTGAATGGAAGTGGACTCCAGACACTATAACCATGAAAAAGAAAGATATAAGTGGACCAACTCTGTGTCTTGCATGTAGCACTATTTATGTATTTGATTGGGACCTTAGAACTATTTAATTTTTTTTTTTTTATCTTTAGGTCCTTATAGGAGTATACAAGTGGTAGAGTGATGCACCACATTAGAGACTTTACACTTTATAGACTGCAACTCCTGTATGTATTTATCCAGTTTCCATCTAAAGTCAGTCTTTAAAGAACCACCTAGGATGTAATTAACTGAGTATCAGTATAAATTAAAATGTAGTATCAAAAACTAAAGCAAGATTAGTAACAAAAACAGTTTCTATTTATACACTTTTAGCACCTCACATAAAGGCATTGGTATATCAGACAAACCAATATTTTTGGATAAGCTTTTCAAATTATTTTTCAAAATAGAATAGAAATTATATCATATATAAAAAGAGATATCAATATTCTAAAATTATATATTTGTTTTAATCTTAAATCATGTTAAAAGTTTACCCAAAAATAATAAATCATTTGAAAATCTTATCAAAATATATTAAATTGAGGCCCATGTTGGATGAGGTCTACCGAGTTCTACATTATCTCCAGAAAATGTTAGCAAGTTTTCAAAATAATTATTTAGAATAAACTGTAGTAAATGGGATTACAGACATATTTCAAATTTACATTTCACATCCAACACAAATATTCTTCCTTGTTATGAATAATAGATTCTCTGTTTAAAATGTTAATAATGTACATTGTATATATTTAATTTAATAGTTTATTAATTTATGACATGTTAAAGCATAGCGAGATTGTATTAATAAAAATGTTTAATGTAACATTCTCTTGACAAAATATTAACATTTTAGAATTACATATCTGTGATCGACTTTGAATTAAAAAAATTAGGTAGTTACCATAAACTTGTTTATGCAATATTTTTTTTAGAAACATGTGCAGTTTCTAACAAAAGAACCAAAATGTCTGCTGCTGCCCTCACTAGTGGGAATGGTATAGAAAATATATAGCAGCCTTGTATAATTCACTAATAGAATAAACAAATCATTAATTGTAGTTTTTACTGAGCATTGCTCTTAGAGGTTAGTCAAATGAAAAAATACCTTAAGGCATTGTCACAAGTTATTGAGGAAAAAAAATAAATCTAACCTTCATTTAGTCCCATAATAAATCACAAGCAACTCTAAAGCAATGGTGGGTTCTTGGGACAGCCGTTAATAATGGGTCTTATGGCCACACTTAACCTGTCTGGCCAGCAGTGAATTCACATATACGGGGCTCAGCTGAAGAATGTTTTTGTCTTTTCTCCTCTGTGTCTTATATTCCAGATCTACATCTTTCCACATCATTAAATGCTAGGCTGTGAGCACAGGACTAATGTATTTGGCAGAGTTGGATTTCTACAAGCCTTTCTGGGTCACCATACTGCTCTTAACTCTTTTAGTCAATGAGAATTTGGCGGTACAGACAGAGCTGCAGCTATAGTTCAGTGCTCAAACCCTTAGTATATAAGCACATGTATCTCCTACATTCCTAAATTTGTGAATGGATACAAAATCCTGGCAATGTGGTAAATGTAAGTAATTGAAACGTGTCTAAAAGCTCAACTACATCAATTACAATTTACTTAAGTTTTGTCCTTGTGTGGCCACATTGCAAGGACCAGTGCAAGCAGTAATCCTGTCTCCATACAATGAGAGTCATACTGATGACACTGTAGGGTGAAAATGTCCAGCAGCTTGATGTTACACCATAACTACAGTTTGTACGATGCATCTACAAATATTATTTATTCCCTCAGTTTGTAACTTGTACATAGCTGTTGCGTGCAGGGGTTAGAGGCTTGAAATTACCAACAATGACTACTTTTTATAAGAAAACAGACACAACGTGTGGCATGTCAGCCGCTGGCTTTGGTCACTGTGAATTACCAATGAAGTATTGTGAGGTAGACAGCTGTAATGATTTGGCTGGACATTATCCATTCCCTTATAAGTCATATGAGGTAGACAGCTACGCAGTTTGGCTGCTATTAAAAACCACTAAAGTGGCCCAGGCCACTTTATCTCAATGAAGTGGTCTGGGTGCAGTAGCCCTTTTGTGTTAACACTACAATATAAACCATTGCAGTTTTTTTGTTTGTTTTTTTTAAACTGCAACATGTAAATTGCAGAGTTAAATCTACCTCTAGTGGCTGTCATACCGACAGCCACTAGAAGACCTTCCGCGGCATTGGTCGAGTAAAACTCGGTCACATGACACAGAGCTTGGATGCACACGTGGCGCTCGCCAAGCTTGCGAATTAGATCCCCAATGCTCCTCTATGAGAAGCATTACATTGGACCATTGTGGAGGAGGCCATGCCCCTTCCGCGACATTACGAGAGGTGGAGAGGTATTATTTGTTTTTTTGCATATGTGGGGGGGAACCTATGTAACTAAGGACAGGGAGGCTAAAGCATTAAGAATTCATGTTTCTATTGCTAATGTTTTAGTGTTCCTGTAAATTATTTTTTTGTTACATTTAAACATATATCTAATACAAAAATTGCTAATGAATGTAAATTTTGTCAGATATAGCACCAGGCATGTGTGTCATAATCTGCATCCTCAGCCACCAGTAATAATCCATGGGGTGATAACGTGTGTAGGGAGTGGATGCCGTCAAAGCATGTGTGACATCATTAATAACAGGTGATGTGTCAGTGGAACCGCTTTTACAGTATGTGTGCATACAAGCAATTTTCTCATCAAAGTATTTTCTTCCGTAATCATTCTTCACCTCCTCTGTTAACTGTTCCCACATTTTGTCTCCAATGGCTTTGATCTTTTCAGGGCTGTAGAGGCTGGTGGCAGCAATGAAATTACCTGGCTCCACCACGCTAACCTTTACACCTAGTGGATGCATCTCATAGCGGAGGCAGTCAGAGAAAGCTTCGACACCAAACTTTGTGATGCAATAAGGGGAGCGAGCAGGATTTGACATTCGACCCAGCATACTACTGATGTTCACAACACGACCTAAAACGATACATAAAAAAGAACCCAGACCATACATTAGTACATGAAAAATAGTAATGAGATTACATGTAAGGCTGTAGGGATTTTCCAAAAGTATAGTCTTGTTATAATATGACAGCATGATGTTTGCTACTGAAAGTCTACTAAAATGCATGTAAGGTAACGTGGTCTTATTAGTGAAGCATTACTTAATATAGGATAAATCTGAAGCCTCAGTCTTGTATTTGGATCATGGCAACTTTACAGTTTGTCAGATATTTCTCCCTGTAAGTTAAAAATGGGTATCTTTACATGGACACAGTGTATACTCATTGCTTAGATGATGGTGCACAAAAATCTCCTGTCCTTGCTCAGTATACAGATTTGACTATAATGGCAGCAAACTCAGAGAAGCTATCAGCCTGCCATTTTACCCAAATGTCAGATTTGGAAGCAAGACTTCCTCCTCTGCCCATACAAATACCGTATTTGTACAACATCTGCTCACAGGAATGGGCAACTACATGGGAGGAGCTGTGTACAGCCCTGCAAACACAGTTTTGACTGGGATTGTCTGTAAATGGATAGAGGTGATGCAATGGCTACTATCAGCTTATTCAGCTCTACTCTTCTGATTTGATAATTGCAACTGCTGGGGTCTGATTTATAGATCCCTTAATTCATGCAGATAATATCAGACCCCATAGACTCTTGATTGTGAGAGCCTTAATCTGCCATTGCTGCTTGCCTGTGCATTAGAAGCAGGTGAAGGAACTTTAACGGTATCTTTCAATAATTATTTGTTAAACATTACTTAACGCATTACCTATATAATTGATTTGTACCTCTTTTTCTATCACAAGCCAAATTGTGTTCATGGGATTACTTTGTCAAATTATTCTTCAATTGGAAAATTAGCTCAAAAACCCATTAATTAATTTTAATATAATACATAAAACTTTAACATTAGACTTTCACCAGTGCCAAAAGGTCCTTTCACTGTAACAGACAGGAGAAGCATTGATGCTACAATATTGTGAGCAGTTAATAAGTATCTCATGAATATTATACGAGAAGCAAATTTAGGGTCCCAGTCAATGGACTATTGGGGTATAAAATGCATTAAAGAATGAGGGTTGCTTTCAGCCTGGAATTTTAAAGCATAGAAGAAGTGTATCATTGATGGAAACTAAATCCTACATTCCCCAGTCCTGAAGAAAACCTGATTAAAATAGTCTATTTGCTTGGGTTGTAGACATCTTAACAGCTTTTCTACCTAAAACAGAAATGTGAAGTAATTTAACTTCCAAACACTGCAACGTAAAATGTTTTGAATCAGGGTTAGAGATTCCATATTTATTTTCCACTCCACACTCCATGCCACTTTAATTTTAATCTTATCTTTTACTATATGCTTTTAATTTTCCCACACCTATTCCCTTTTACGTTATCCATTTCCTCCTCGTTACTCAATCAACTGTACTTCCATCCTTCAAATCCCCCTCTCTATTATTTAATATTATCCACATCACTCGGCCTCTATGCATTACCCGCTCTATTTAATTTCTTTGCTGAGGCACCCTAACCAAGCCTAACCTGTAGATGGCGTACATGATTTAGGAGCAGAGACACGTATAGGACAACCACCCTTCACTGCATTTGGTATTTCCAGATTTAGAAACAGAAAGGATGTGCCTTCACATCTTCACAAAGGTCCCTCACACATCAATTCCACACTGAAGGTGTCCTATGGATTTGTCACTGATCCACTGACCCACAAACACGGCATGCAGATGAGGGAGAATGACGTCACTATAATTTGTTACTGAGGATGGCAACCCAACCACAACATATCATATGTATAAAAATAACAAAATGTCATAACGCATCCAATGAGGCCACAGGTGCAAAATAGATTCCACCAATTGTGCAAGCTGATTTTTCAAATTGTAAGTGAGAAAGAGTCAAAACATTACTTTTGTTTAAACAAATACATCTAAACTGCTATCTTGCCTTTAGCCCTGCGGATGAGAGGGAGACAAGCTTTGGTAACTCGAACTGTGCCCCATAAATTAACTTCAGCAACCTCCTTGTATGTTTCCATACTAGTGAACTCAACTTCTCCAAACGTGGAGATACCAGCATTGTTAACCACACCCCAGAGACCTGCCAAAGGAAAACATAAGAATATTAAAACAATTACAAGAACGAGCATTTATATATAAAAAAATCTGTAATAGAATGTATAGTAAATCATAACAATAGGAGCAGACAAATAATGGAAATATTTACAATGCTACTACAGGAATATCTGTTTCTAGAACTCTGGAACTAAAACAAACAAGGGATAGTTACATTTAGTTGAACATAAAAACTTGCCAATTATGAGATGTAGCAGGTGCATCAATCTGCTGGTTTGAGCATCGGCTGACAATGAGGTCCCTGTTTAAGTGTGCTGTACG